CTTTGCTTATGTTAGTTTGCAACATCAGACCATAGAAGTTGAAAATATTTTCAACATACTGGTCCATAAGGGACCAACTTTCCCAATTCCTTCATCTGCACAATGAAATCTCCATGCCTGAGATCCATCAGACTCATATCAATAGCTTGGAGAACTGAGGGAGAGGAGTTTCTGGAAGTGATTTACAGTGGGAGGTAAGAATAACTCCCTAGGGGTCCCATCACTCCATGAGGAGATGGATGTAGCGGGGTACCATGGCAGCCTGCTGTTGCTGGCCTCACCTATGTTTGTTTGTTTGCTTCCTTCAGCAGCCAAGGATGCTGAATACTGAGGAGTCCCCACTGCAGCCCAATCCTTGCTGTCAGTCATGTGACAGTTGTGATATGTGGATTTGATTGACATTTCTATGCTTTCTGCTGCTTAAATGGCTTGAAGAGAAGTTATGTATAAACAGGAAAGAAATTTAAGGGTTACAAGAGAGAATTCCTGCTTTATCATTCCATCAGGAGAGACTGTCAGTATGACAGATATTAGTGTCTTGAGCTAGCAATCACCTCAGATAACAAGGGAGAAGGAAGTGGAAGAGCAGATCTAAAATGATTACAAAGTGTGCTCCTCTAGTTAAATTCTTCTGACTGTCTACCTGAAGGGTGAGTTGCTCAATCTTCTCTTCCAGCTCTTTAACCTCGGCTTCTCGTTCAGCCACCATCTGTCTGAGCTGCCCTATAAGGCAGTTTTGTTTCTGAACCTCACTGTTCCACTGCTGCCCCAGCACCTGCTGGGACTCCTTGTTCTTCTCGTCCTGCTGGCTCAGGTGCTTCAAGATCTCCTGCATTTGCTTCTGTTGGCTCTGATAAAATAGAAACAATAAGTAAGATCATCACTTTTGTACACAATGATTATTAAGACTCCCTGGGTGTTTTACACTCTCCAAGACCCATACCCATTTAGGAATGCTAGGGCAAGCCCCTGCCCTGCCAAATCGATTCCTCGGTGTAAGCACACTGATGTCACTAGTGCTACTCCCAAGAATTTGGTCTGTTAAGTTTTAAGCATGAGATCACCTTGTCTTGCTCTCAGCATCTTGAAAGGGCTGCACATCTACTGGCAATGCCCAGACAGTCAGCTGGGTAAGGACAGTCTGCCCCCACTGGCTCCGGCTGGTCACATCAACACTTTGGGGAATGGATGGCACCAGTAGAAAAGACCTGACCAGCTGAGAGATTCAGTTTGCTGGCAGCTTTGCTCCTGAGCGGAGCAGAAAAAAAGAAGAGTAAAAAAGGCTGGCCTTTGACAAAGAAGGTGACCTTTTCATGAACCAGACAAAAGTAAAGATTTCAGTTTGGTGTTGTGTGAAATTAGAACACCATCAGGTTGTGTGACAGTGACATTAAAAATGAGGGTTGTACCGGACAACAGCCACAAGGCTAGGCTGTTGTACCCGTGCATTTTGGAATTTGTCTCACACTGACAGATGTCATTCTTGGAGAGTTTGTTCTGTCAGGCCAACAGACTGCAAGCAAGGTGTTTCTTTGACGTAAGGGATAAAACAAGTTAACCATTCCTTCCCAAGTAAACTCGCATCTTTCTGTAATAATTGTAGTGAGAATTCTCAGACTTAGCAAAAGTGCCAGGTGTTGCTTGGCTCCTCTCTTAACCTGCCTAGTCTGCTGGTCAATACCCCTCTTTCCCACGGCTGCCTGATGTGCAGGAAGGTGAATGCCAGCTTAGTCATAAGCGTGTCTTGGCTAACAACCGCAGGCAGAAGCAAGGAAATGTAAGTGATGTGAAACTCGTGAGAAGCTGGATCAGGCAACACAGAACTGACACTACTAAGAGGTGGCATATTTTCTAATAATATTTTAAATCATTGTAATTGGGGAAGACTATTTAGAACCACGGCAGGACAAAAGGTTCCTGCAAGACCATGAGAGCAGCTATTTATTTCAGCATAACTGCATCTTGAGTCACGGCTAATACCTTTGGTTTAGAAGGGTCCAAATCCTCTCAGCTCCAGCTACTGCAAGTGAATGTGCACATGGTTTAGTACTCACGGTTCAGCTTGAGTGTTTTGGGCTGTGCAACACAGCAAATCAAAACGCAAGATTGCAGACATTCTAAGAAAAAAAATCGGACGATGGAGCTGAAAGCAGCAAAAATACAGTCCAGCTTCATGGGTCAGGAATTAAGCCCTTCCTCCACTTAGTAGACAATCATATTTCAATCCTTCTGCAAAACATTTCTTCCAATACTTGCAGTTTAGAGCCACTTGACTGCAAGTGTGTCACGCCTGGTGCTGTCTTGCAGCCTCTACGTGATCTGATCCAAAATGCAGAAGGACTTTAGCTGACTAGGAAACCTCTGGCTGTCACAGCTTGATTCATCAGGCTCCCGAATCCCCTAAGGTTGTCTGTGTCACCGTGTCATTAAATTACATCATGTTTTAGCACTTATAGAAAGAGGGCTGGTCTGCAGGAGCTGGGACCAAAAGTAAGACTCAGACCGTACCAGTAAGGCGTCTATGAGCTCATCATCATGTTTTCCTTTCTCCAGCAAGGTTAGGATCTGTGCCTTCAGGGTTTTCACTTCGCTGCACAGTACTTTGTTCCTGGCTTTCGATGCATCAAGTTTTTTTTTCACTTCCTCGTGACTTTTTTGGAGAGCATCGTGTTCCCCAGCGAGTTTCTGCAGTGACACAAACACATCGTAGGAAATGACAGTTATAGCCCATCACCGAGCCCCAGGTGCTTTGGTGAGCTAAAGGAATGACACGTTGCCTGCTAGAATCTAAAAAATGGAATATCATCCCTAAGTAGGAATTATAAATGCTACTACTCACTGTCTGCTTGCCAGCATCAAAGAAAGGTCTGTCTGTTCAGGAATCCAAGTGGACTAGGTTGATTCAGTATGTGCCAGGAAGCAAATGATAATTCTGTGTTAAAATCTAGCTCTGTATGCTCCTGATTTTCCATTTGCCTCACCATTCTCCATGGGGAAACTCCCTTCCAGATACAGGGTGGTGATGCCACACTAGCTACTCAAAGCTATCCTTGGAATACAGTCTCCTGTGCCATGCCTTTGCCTAGATGAAACTGTTCAGGGAGCACCCAGCAGTTACGTAGTAAGGGACAAGTACAGGGGAAGTTATTGTGAATGGAGCTTGAAACACCAAGGCAGAAGTGGAAGCACGCAGATTACAGCTGTTGAGGAAAGCCTCCCCTGTGCTGTGTGCCTGTTGCTGTAAATCTCATTCTCACGGCCAAGAGTGAAAGGTGTGGATCACCCCGTGGCTCTTTCTGTTGCACAGTTAAATTGTGGTGACAGAAGCAGCAGCGAATCAAGCTCTGGGATGATGCCAAGTGGCCCCTACAGAAACTAATACAGGAAGGGAGCACAGGGAAATGTGCTTTGCTATCCTGAATATGTGTAGCTGACCCCCTCTTCCCATGTTTCTTGTTGGCACAGGCCGATGTATCCTACCCACCTCAGGGTTTACTACCTGTGCCACTCGCTATAGCCTCTCCCAACCCCCAAACACTGGCTGCCTGTTTATTTTGGTAGCAACTGTAAGTGATAGATGTAGGGTAAGACCCATTTTCAGGATGACTCTTAGAGGGTTCTCAAGCACTGGAACAGGCTGCCCAGGGAGGTGGTTGAGCCACCATTCCTGGAGGTATTTAAGGGATATGGTGCTTAGGGAGGCGGCTTAGTGGCAGTATTAGCAGTGTTGGGTTAATGGTTGGGTTCAATGCTTAAAGGTCTTTTCCAACCTAAATGAATCTATGACTCTTTACACATATGCCTTCAGTCCAAAGCCAGTACAGCTGCAATTTCAACCTAGGGCCTCTCTCCCTCTTTCTAACGTCCCGTATCAGGCACAGTTGTCAGGTAGCCACATTTCAGGTTAAGTGGATGCATCTGACACATGAATCATGAAGCAGAGGGGAAGATCAAATCTGGCACTGCAGAGGTATGCCCAGCCACAAAAGAGTGCAATACAGACAAGTGTGGAATTCTGCTGCGTCTGTGAAGTGTGGCAGAACTTCCTCCAGCAGATCAGGTGGGTTTCTGAAATGGTCTCTGGGCACAGTGTAACATACACCCTCAAGGTAAAGCAAGTTACCACACTCTATATACCCAAACAGGATGCTCTCAGCTCACAGATTTTACCTCCAATGCCTCTTTCTTTTCTTTTTCCAAGCTGCGGATCTTTAGCAAGTTCTTCTCTTGGGCTGACAGCTTCCTTGGATCAGTAAGGGCCAGCAATTCCTCATCAATCCCACTCAGTGATGTTCTGCTCTTGTTTTGACCCAGCTGATTCTCCAGCTCTCGAAGCTAGGGGACAATAACGACACCTCATCTAGCACCTTTACCAGGAGTACGGTGGTTCAGCATCAAAGATCACATAACCTAAGGGAACTCAGAGCGTAGCATCATATTACTTCTTGACACCATCATGGTTAACTAGCACAGAGCAGTGCCTGTTCTTTAAAATTTAAATTTGTTAGCTGCTAACAAAGATGCAGATGTCTAGGGCATCTGTGCAGGGAGAAGATATGACACAAGATCTATGGGAGATTCAAGACACATGTGCTGTACTGGAGCCACGTGTGGAGGCCAGGCACACAGTCCAAAATACCTCAAATGCCACTAAACACATGTGTGGGCAACAGAATAATACCTTAGATCTCCTCTAAAAGGGCAGACACCCATTCACCCTTATACATTTGGAGGTGTCTTCTGAGATAAGATGCACCTACCTCACTTCTGATCCAGTGACTGTATTTAAAAGACCCCACTGACTACAGGAGGGGCCTGAGGAGACTGGCTTAGAAAAAAATACCTGCATTACAGTAGAGTACAGTACGTACAGTCTTCAGATGAATCCCAGCCAGGTCTAACTGCAGGAAAATTTAATTTGCTCAAAGGAAAGCAGAGGTTAACAATTTCAGTTAATCAGAGTGCAAAAATCCCTGTGTGTTGGCATACGATTGATTAAACAGCAGAAAAATAGGAAGAAGATATATCAAAAGAGAAGTTTTATTTAAGATGCCCACAAAACCACCTCCCTGATCCCAGCTGTTATTTCAGCTAGACCGTGCCCTTCAGAAGATTCAAGAGTTAAAGATTTTAATGAAGTTCCTGGGGGAACAACTTGAAAATCTTATCTGGCCTCAATTCTTCTCATCTGACTTTAGGCACTGAACAAAGGTGACTGAGTGAGAGCACAGACACTCACAGGGCTCCTTCTGTACTCAGTGGAGGGAGGCACCTTTAAAACATCCTGGGATTTTAACTAGGCTGCCAGAGCTCTCCAAGGTCACAGAAATCTCTCTTTTGAGGCATATGTGAAAAATTCCTAGCTTAAATACTAACACTCGGATATTTGCAATAGACTAATTAATATAGTTTGCAGGAACTCTGAAAGATCCTGCATCCATCAACACATGTATCTCAAACGTAACACCCCACCACCATACGTGGACACAAACGTACAAAAAAAAAAATTTCAGGAGTTACCATAAAGTGTTTTATTCCAACAGTTGCTTTCCTCAAGACAGAAAAAGACTGGCCATGTATCTGCAGTAAACATTGTACTGGGACACGCCTTATAAGCAGGTATGGATGTTAATAAGTGCTTAATAAGAACTAACAGTATCTTTCCCTGACACTGCAGTAATATCTATACTCAGACAGGGCACCCCAGCACCCAGCTTACAGGGTGCTATGCAGAGTCTTAACTCACCTTGCTTTGGAGAACAAGAATTTGCTGGGCTCGTCCACGCCAGCTGCCAGAACTGGTCAAGAGGCTTTGAATATTCACATCTTCACCAACTTCATTTGCTAAAAGCTAAGAAAAAGGGATTAACATCAACAATAAGGCTAGGCTGAAATATGTGTGTTGGGGAGAGAGGAGGAAAAGCTGCTCCCTCTAGCAGTAAACACAGAACACCAGCTGTACACAGTGCCTTTATCGCCTGTATCAGCTACCCAGTATCCCGTGTGATGTAAGCTCTTTCATATCATTATCACAATACAGAGTGCTGCTGCTTAGGAGGGGTTTGGCTAACGTGAATTATTTCACTTTCTGATGTGTGTAAGTCAGTATTTTGATGTTTGGGTAATATTCTTTGCTTTTTAAGAATGTGGATCTATGTTTTGCTGCCTGCCTAGGGAGAGTGTCCAATTGCACTACCTAGCTGTACAGCTGGGTGTCAAACCCAGCTATCTCTGTAAAAGGAGGATTTCAAATTCATCACCAAGGTTTACTAAGCATTACTAAGAGTTTTCAATATGCCCAGTCATTTTTGATATAATGAATACTTCAGCAGAACTACACAGGAACAGGGTAGAGATATTGTGTTACTACACACCCTTGCAATCAGGAATTGAGCCAATCTCCCTTGCACAATTCCAACACAGCCACATTAACGAGAGCTAAAGTTAGTATGAAGAGCATTTAAATTATTTATAAAAAGGTCAGCAAGTTCTATTTTTAGGACCATATTCTCTACTCTGATCTGCATTGCAGGTCTCCTTCGCAAAGTAATGAAAGCAAAGGCAACAGAGCACATAGTAACACATTAAAATCCATCATGAATCAAAGAGGAAAAGGTTACTCTGGATGTCACTCCAACAAACTGTTTAAATACATGCTTTAGTTCAAGCGTGGTCGTTAATCCCAGTGACTTCCATGGGACCGAAGCCTACACTGAAAGCAAATACTTAATTAAATGTTTTGGAAAGGAGCAACGGGCCTGAACTTCAAGTCAATCACAAACCTATTTTGCTGAACTGGGACTTTAAAACCTTAAAGAATCTGTACCCACCACAGCAATAGAAATAGTGGGTACAGACATCCAGCTGTGGTGGCAGAGCATGAAATCTGTGTGTCGAGGTGCTCATCTTTCCAATGCAACCATCACCCCCACGTCTTTTCTTACCCTCTTACTGTTCACTGGAACATGTCACGGAGGTTAATCAAAGCTCAAAAGAAAAGAAGCCTCCTGATTTCACAAGAATATACCTCTTGCACAAGATCCCAGCCACAGACTGTCCCCTGCAACACTACCTTTTGGGTCATCTTCAGTTCCTGTTTTGCAGATTGCAGTTGGTTACGATACTCCATCACTTTAAAGTTGGCTGCGGTTAATTTTTCTTGCAATGCTTTCACCTCTGGACTTTCAGCCTTTGAGGAGAAGAATGTACTGGGTAAGAACAGAATCCTCAGGGAAAAACTGAAGTGATTAAGATCCACAGATCTATCAGGATCACAGAATCTTTTTTTCCCATTCCCATGCAAATGTATTCTCTAATTCTGGGGATCCTAAAGAATGTGCAAACAGAGCAATTTGTTCACAAAACTACTGACAGGGGTAGATCCTTGCCATAAGGAAATGCACAATAGGAAAGAAGTATCAGCTTCTGATTTCCTCTCTTCATACCAAGTTTCCTTCTATCACTATCAGCTTCTGATTTCCTCTCTTCAATTACAATTCATACCAAGTTTCCTTCTATCATCTTCTGAGTTGATTGCTTGATTCCTTTATCTCCAGCACTAAGATAATGTATTTTTTCCACAGCTGTCTGTAGCTGGAAAAAAGAAAAAGCATTGTTATTATACAGTACATACAGTGAAAAGCATACCTTCACGGAAGACTAATTAGACAAAAGTACAACAGCAATTTTGATGATCCTGAATGTTTATTTACTAGAGAAAAATAACCCCCACAACTTCATTTCCCATTATTTCTTAAATACAGCCAGTAGGAAAGCACACATTTTTTCCTGAAAGGCTTTCCAAAGAAGCCTGTGTTATTTTACTGCAGAAAAACTTCAGTGAAAAGTCTCTGACTTGCTGAGATGGGATCAGTTATCAAGTACGAAGACTTCTGTGAGATTTTATCACCACAAGTTGATAAAATAAGTGTTTATATATATAAATCCACAGAATTACAGAACGGTTTGGGTTGGAAGGGACCTTAAAGACCATCCAGTTCCAACCCCCCTGCCATGGGCAGGGACACCTTCCACTAGACCAGGTTGCTCCAAGCTTCATCCAGCCTGGTCTTGAACACTTCCAGGTATGAGGCATCCACAGCTTCTCTGGGCAACCTGTTCCAGTGCCTCACCACCCTCTCCAGGAAGAATTTTTTCCTGATATCTAATCTAAACCTCCCCACTTTCAATTTAAACCCGTTACCCCTTGTCCTGTCACTACAGGCCCTTGTAAAAAGTCCCCCCCCGCTTCCTTGTAGCCCCTTCAGGTACTGGAAGGCTGCAATAAGGTCTCCCCGGAGGCTTCTCTTCTCCAGGCTGAACAAGCCCAATTCTAATGCAGTACAGTACAGATCAGGATATTGTCTCTAGATTCTGGATGCTGGTTTACCCACTCTTCAGAAAAATCATAGGATATTTCAAAAAAAGCACAGAGTTCTCTTTACCAGATGAATTTAAAAGGAGGAATTACTATTTAGTAATGATGTTAAGCCTTTTTTTCTTTAGCTAGGATAGCTCTAAGGGAGCATTTCTCAACCCATGAAGAATATGTCTCTTATTGCTTGCCATAGTTTAGGAAGGCAGGAACATAGCCCCTTTGCCTCTGAATCATGCCTTATGTTGAGGTTGCAAAGAGTTTTTACTGGACTGAGTGCAGTGTATTTGGAGCTGGAAAGGCTGATTAGTGTTGCTTTAAAGGGCTGAGACTTCATTCTTTGAGGTGGGCAGAAAAATCTCAATTATTTGTTTGAATAAAAGAAGGCTCTAAGGAGCAGCTTCTTCATTAAAGTGATATCTGGGGAAACAGAGAGTGTAACTCAGACCCAGCTCTAACATTACCCCTTTTTTGAAAGTAAACCAGTGGTTAGGTCACCCCTTCTATCCAGTTCATAAACTCTTGTAGTCAATGGACTGAGAATGAGAAATTGCAGCTAGTGTTGGCAGCTGCTAGGTCAAATTCTATGGAAATATTCTGCAAACATCCGTTTGCAGTCTGTGTTTACATGTCCCACCCTTTGCTAAGTGATTGCTCAATGGCCACACCTTCCATTTTTGTTTGTGGGAACATAGTCATGTTAAAACACTTATGATTTACATATTTTTCACATTTTATACAAGCAAAGAACTAATAACTATGTAAAATAAGTGTTTTCCAGTGGTGAAAGTACATACTGTGATGCATTCCTACGGCACCATCACCACAAGTCATTTAGCAGAGTTTAAGGCCTCTAGAAGTAGGCGCACAGGAGGCGTGAATCACAAAGCAACACGTTCTCAGTGTGAGCGTCTCTATGAAGAACAGAGTCTGGTCAATCACTCAGGGAAGTCTGGTCTTCAGCTCACTCTACAGCAAACACCTACACTACATGAAGCATAACTGCATTCCACATTGCGGATTCGGTTTTGTTTCCCACTCCCAGCTGTCTAGTTCCATTGGAAGGACCGGAGGGTATCCAGCAGGCCTTCAGCCGCTGCACCTGGACGGCCAGTGCTGTCACCGCTAAGTGTCTCACAGGGACATCTGAGACATCAAGGGGCATCTCAGACTGTACTTTCATGCGGGCAACTGAATTGCACTTTAATTGTCTTAGAATCACAGAATGGTTTGGGTTGGAAGGGACCTTAAAGATCATCCAGTTCCAACCCCCTGCCATGGGCAGGGACACCTTCCACTAGACCAGGTTGCTCCAAGCCTCATCCAGCCTGGCCTTGGACACTTCCAGGGATGGGGCATCCACAGCTTCCCTGGGCAACCTGTGCCAGTGCCTCACCACCCTCTCCATGGCTGGGGAGACACTGTTTACAATCTAAATCTGGTCTATAATCAATGGGAAAAGCTGCGTGTGTCTAGACAGCGACCCAGTTTAGCCTAGGGGTTACTAAAGAGGTCTTTTATATCTTCATGCAGTTCTACTGAACAAGTACCAACCACAATTAGCCAGTGACCATTAAAGAGTCACCTCAAATGAGGTTGTGAGGGAACACAGATCATTGACCAGGGAACGGTTGCAGTGGGGTTGGCACTGTCGTTCATCTTTAGCTCTGATGAGACAGGTTGCTGTCTTTGGGTTTGATTTTGACTGTGCTGGTGTCTAAGGGCAGATTAGTTCGTATCTCAAGTGTCCATCTCTCTGCTTTGACCAGCAATTGTTTCTTCAAAATTTCTGTTTGCTTTGAGTTTGATTTCCTTTCCCAAAATGACTGTGGTCCTTTATTTTGGGTCAATCTGACAATATTTAAAGCTTTTGTTTGAAAATGCAGTAGGGGATTATAACCAAGTTGATTTTTCTTGAAATTATTCACAGCTTGTTCCCCTACTTGTGTGATTTTGTAGGTCCCCAGCTACACCTGATTTTTCTTAGGCAGCCTGCCAGCTCCGACCAGATCACTCCGGCTTTACACAGGAGTTCTTAAAAATTTAATCTACCATTTCTTGATCTTTCAGGTAACTGGGGTACAATTCAGATGCATGCACGATTCCTGATAATAAGTGATTGTGAAAGATGGACTAAAAATGCACCTGTCAGACAGCATGATAAATGTTACTGATCCATTTAAATGATGTCTTTCTAAGGAAGCAAAGCAGTGAAAATTATCCAAAATTTTACCAGTATTGTGTAAGGGAGTGAGGTTGTAGCCAATGAACAAAGTAAACACTGCCGTCAGGGCATCTAATTTTCATTGCAGCAGTCACCCTAGTACAATTATTCCTGTGAAAGGTTAGCACATGTAAAAAAGTCATACTAAATCACAAAAAAAAAAATTTACTGAGTGAGGATTTGCTGTCTTACGGGATATAGCTTGTTACTGTCTCAGTTCTGGAAGTATTTATGGCAGAAAACAGCTTTCATTATGAATAAAGCTTAGAAGAATAGAGTACTAATTCATGACTGATATTAATGAGGTGGGAATGTAAGACATAATGGTATGAAATTTGCTCCTCCTTACACAAAGAGAAAAATGTCATTGCCATACTGCTAGCAAGGCCTCTGTGCTTCAAGTACAAATGAACATTCTTAATTGGTATTTCACAAATCTTTCTCTCATTATAACTTACTAATATCCTTTCCTAGCTCCTCCTTTCTGCAAAGGTGGAGACAGCCGAGGGCACACATCCCTCTCTCTTACAGGAATTACAAGAACTCAAAGCAAGCATGGATGCAAGAGCAAATTCAACAGGCGAACATGAATTAAACACAGTTTCTACGGCTCCTCTATTTCACTCACTGGATTTCTATGTTTTAGCATGCAAAAGGAGAACAAGAAAAATGCCTCACTTCTTTCTCCAGCTCTCTGACTTTACTGTTCAGTTGCTTCACTTTGGCTTTTTCACTCTCCATCTCGGCAGTTATCTCACGATTCTTTTTGGCCAATTCAACTATCTTAGAAGCTGCCACATCTCCAGCTAAACCCGACGCCCCTGAAAAGAAGACATAAAAGCAAAGGACATATCTCATGGGTGAGATTCGGAATAGATGGAGCTTTTGTTCTCTGTCCAGTAAACAGAGTACTTTCATTGTCTGATCCATTCCTCTCAGAGCTGTGCCAGGCACTTAAATGAACAAGTGAGGGAAAAGAGGCGTCAGTGATTCCAGCTGGATTGCTTGGTCCTTTGAGTCTGCATCACGCTGCAGCTAGCAAGGCCACATCTCGCACTACAGCAACAGCCACAAGTCAGAAGGCCACAACAGTGGTCAACGTTACTACATAGGAAGGGTAGAGGTGATTTCTGCCCATGGCTGTGAAGGGCTGTTACCCCCAGGTTTTTGCTGCATATTACAGAAAAAGACAGCACTCTGTTTTGTACTGGTTGTTTACTACTTGGAAGAGTTGCTGAAACAGAGGTGCAAATTTTTCTAGACACGTGTCCTAAAAGGTCAGGCACACTGTTACAGTTGGGTCCTGGAAAACGTCCAGGAAATTTCATTGTGCCTATTTATATGTCCCTCGAGATTATACATGGAGCCTTACTGTATTACTCTTTTAATTGCTCTTTTAAACAGATACTTCATTCATCAGAGAGGGCTTGATTAGCGTCACAAATAAAGTAATCCCCAGGACTGACTTGTGTGTCACTTGGCTTCCATCAACATCACATGGGTGAAGAAAGGTTCTCGCACAAGTGCGAAAGCAATGATTGCATACAATGTCCATGGAAACCTCTAGCTCAGCAATGAATATGAGCCTGCAGTAACAAATCCCTGCTGGGATATTTGAAGATTGAACTTGGGTGTTGTCATTCTTCTTGACTCTTTCATCTTCCTTCAGTGCTCTGAAGTAATGACTTTTCTACTCACATCTGTGAAGATTATATACAAGCACTAGGGTGAGGTGCAAGGATGACGGATCACTCTTACGTGAATTCTGGGTCCCATAAAAGCCCTAGAGACATCAAAGTGGCTATGTGGAATATAGGTGAGAACAGAATACAACACCATGTCACTATTTAAAAATGTTATAGGGAAAATAATGAATTCAATAAAGTGTTTTTCCACTGTTCCTTTATCTGACATGTGTTTCCACTCTCACCTAGACACTGTTTTTTCCTTAGTTTACATAACACATAATGGCTGCTAGGGATGCCAGTAAGTACTAAACTGACCAAAAGTACTTTCATGTGATGGTTTTCAAATGCATTGCACACACTCAAAGCTTTTAATTCCCATGCAACGTGGGTGAGTCTCTTGCCACGATGCAGACAGGAAAGACCAAAACATGGAGCAAACTGCCACAAGCTGGCATGCGAGGCAGCCTCAGAAGCTCCAAAAGCACACCTGTCTCCTGGTCCTGACCCAGCTTATCATTCCTCCTACATACAAGCTGCAAACAGTTTTTACGAAAGAAGGTGTCATTTAAGTGTTACTTAGGTCTGCCTATTGCTGGTTTCCCCCATCTCTACTAGCCTGGTTGTCTCTGCTGTCCTGAACAACAGTGGCACCTAGTGGAAGAGGCGCAGCCTGCGCAGTTCAATCTTCAAAGGGCACCCAAGCCACTTCAGAAGCTGGACTCTGCATTCAGCCAACATTCTGCATGTGTCCTATTCAGGCAAACAAAAGGAGCCTGAATAAGGAATTTAACACTACATAGCAGAGAAAGCTGCAACACTGCTCTTTGGCACTAACAGAAAGTTTCCTAAAATATGATTTCTGCAAGTCATCCTTTTTTGTACCACTATAAGCAAGTTTGGAGAAGATCTGTGAGGAACAGAGATGGCTGTGTACCCCCAAAGAGCATGATACTTGTATTAAGGGACATATAATAACAACAATATTTTTCACCTTAGGTCTGACCTGACTGCCTCAGATGTCATTTGGTCCTTCAACAGCTCTCTAAAATGAAAAGTAGTGGCATTCGCATTTTGCAGCTCATGAAACTGAAGGAGCACCTAAGACACAGAACTTGAGGTGTACATGGCATTCCACCTCCCGTGTCACACCACTGCGAGAAAAACAAAGGAAAGAGGCTCCTCACGTGGGAGAGACATGAATGTTTGGTAAACTCTGCAAATGCAAACCAGTGTCAACTTAGACCCGTGCAAGTTTAGGCAGAAGCTGTAAGTGTTGGCCAAATCTACACCCAGGTGTCTAAGTATTTTCAAAGTTCAGAGCCAAGTGCTATTGCAAATTATTGCCAGCTTGGCAGAAAACAAGTGTCTCTCAGCTGAAAGATGAATCTGGGACCTTCCTAGCAGGGGCTTATTACAGGGGTGGAAACAGAGTCAACCACAATGTCACTGAAATACTCCTTTTTAGCATAAAGTAGGTAAAGAGACATCACATGAATATTTCACTGCCAGGAGCTCACAGTGAATCCATTATCCCACCTCTATTGCCAGCATCAAGCAAACACTGGAACTAACGGAGTGAGAATACAAAGTTACCGCGTTTACCCGACAAAGCCAATCTGTCCTCCTGGATTTTTTTCTGGAGTTGCTTTATTTCAAAATCTTTCTCTGTCATCAGTTTGTATAGTCTGCAGTTCTCATCTTGGACCTCTCGAATCTGATCCTGGAGCTGCTCATTCTCAATCTCAAGCAACCTGGGAAAAAAATAAGCCATAATGACAAGGGTCACTGTAATGTGCCTGAAATAGATGTTTCTAGAAGTAATGAAATGACTGTATGGTGGATAAACTGAGTTTACCATGAGTCAGTTTACTGAATAAAACAGAACATTCTGAACCTCAGACTAGCTAATGATCTGATCTCTTCAATTAACTCATTTTTATTCAGAAATTCTGCACTTCCTTGTGGTTTGGGGCAAAACGTCACAGAACAGGTATTTTTTCAGAGCTCCTGAGGTTAATGAACAGTCTCATCTCACTAAGCCTTACTTATCTAGTTCATCAGAGGAGACCAGGCAGGCTCACCATTCAGCATCCGTGACTTTCAGGCTTTACTTTCTATACTTACTGAAGCTAATCGAAGCCAACAGAGCATCAGCTAAAAAAGCTGCTACTAAGGTTCTTTCTTTAAAAATGAATGCTTCACAGCACTTCACAAAAGACCAATTCACTGTGTCCTCATCAGATTTTCTTGGAATCCCACCAGGATGGACTGGCATCAGTTTGTATTGTTCATGTTGCTTTTTGGAATTCATTTAGAAACAAAGAATATCAAAAAGCCCTCTGAACAGGAGGAAATAGCCTCGCTTCTCCTATTCTTCAGCACATTAGTAACATCTCTGGGTTTCATCTCTCTCAGACATCCAGAGAATTAATAACTTTTATCTCTTACATGATGGTTCCTCCAAATATAAAAACTAGAAGCTAAGGGCTCAGGGCCTCAATTCAGATGTGGGCACTCAGGCATCCATTTGAAATGCCCCAGGATTATCTGAGCTCCCGACACGAGGCCAGCAGCCACAACACAGGGTTTGAGAGGAAACCACATGTGCTAAGAGAAGTTGTACGGACACTGCCCTTTAGTAAATAGGTTTGTGGTAGAGACCCAAGTCAGTAGTTCCCATTCTGCCTGCCTCTGAATTTCCTCCCTCCTCTGATCTGAGTTTTCTCATCTCCCCCATCTGAGTTTCAGGGTGGTGGCAAGCAGCAGCCTTTCAGCTGCTGCTGCTCAAGGGTGCAGGTCTCCCCTGTGCTATCATTCCTATGTGGAAGTTCCTAATACCCTATGGCACCTCAGATATCATTAGACACCTAAGCCAGCCAGATGAATTGACCCTTAGATTCTCATCTACAACGTGACTCTGGATGTCTGTTTTGGTGACTTGATCTGGTATAGTGTCCCACTCCTTTGGCCTATAGATGGATTGCTCTAGACCTCAGCAGAAGTAGATAGCTTGGATGATCACAGAGCTTGGGGTAAAGCCCACTTTTCATAGAATCGTTTAGGTTGGAAAAGACCTTTAAAATCATAAGCCCATCCATTAACGTAACACTGCCAAGGGTTAATTAATCTTCATCTTTTCCCCTGAAAGCACCACTAAACCATGTCCCCAAGCACCTTGTCTCTGAAATCCCTCCAGAGATGGTGAGTCCACCACCTCCCCGGGCAGCCCCTTCCAATGCCTGACAACAGTTCCAGTGAAAAATTTTTTCCTAATATCCAATCTAAACATCCCCTGGTGCCAATTGAGGCCATTTCCTCTCATCCTGTCACTTGTCCCTTGGGAGAAGAGACCCACCCCCGCTCTGCACCCTCCTTTCAGGGAGTTGTGGGGAGCGATAAGGTCTGCCCTGAGCCTCCTCTTCTCCTGGCTTGAACCCCCCCAGCTCCCTCAGTTGCTCCTCACAGGAATTCTTCTACAGACCCTTCCCCAGCTCCATTCCCTGCTCCAGACATGCTCCAGACCCTCAGTGTCTTTCTTGCAGTGAGGGGCCCAAAACTGAACACAAGCTTCGAGGTGTGGCCTCACCAGTGCCCAGTAGAGGGGGACAATCCCTGCCCTGGTCCTGGTGGCGACACCGTTCCTGACCCTCAGTTGCTCCTCACAGGAATTCTTCTACAGACCCTTCCCCAGCTCCATTCCCTGCTCCAGACATGCTCCAGACCCTCAGTGTCTTTCTTGCAGTGAGGGGCCCAAAACTGAACACAAGCTTCGAGGTGTGGCCTCACCAGTGCCCAGTAGAGGGGGACAATCCCTGCCCTGGTCCTGGTGGCGACACCGTTCCTGACACAGGCCAGGATGCTGTTGGCCTTTGTGGCCACCGGGGGACGCTGCTGGCTCACATTCAGCTGCTGTTGATCAACATCCCCAGGTCCTTTTCCCCCGGGCAGCTTTCCAGCCCCTCGTCCCCAGGCCTGGAGCGTTGCAGGGGGTTGTTGTGGCCCAAGTGCAGGACCCGGTACTTGGCCGTGTTGTATGTCCTACAGCTGACCTCAGCCCATCAATCCAGCCTGTCCAGATCCCTCTGAAGAGCCTTCCTGCCCTCAGGCAGATCAACACTCCCACCCAACTTAGTGTCATCTGCAAACTGACTGAGGGTGCAGTCATTGTAACAGTTGTTACGTATCTACCTGTGACTATAGACACATCCACAGCCAGACAAGTCAGCTACCTCAATAGTCACCTAGATATTTAAGTTCAAAAGCTTTAGCATGCTTTTTACAACTGGACTTTGGAGCTTTTAAATGCACACTCCATATGTACGTCAGACATGACCCCTTAGAACGCTGCCATAAACAACAGTCAATTTATGACGATTCACAATCCATAATTAAGAAATGCACTTCTGTTTCAAAGCTGCAAATCAAAGGGAGATCAAAGGCAGCTGTTTACAAAAGAGAAGAAAGCAAGCAGCAATCTGAGAGAAGGCAAAACTAAGTTATTCCCACATGTACCAGTCATAGAAGTGAGCAACAAAACTGTGCAGATCTAATTACAGACACGTGGACAAAAAGATTTTTAGCAGTTAGGGAGTTAACATGAAAAAAGGTTCTAAGCTCTTAGCACACCTGATCAGCGATGTCTTCCTCAGAGCTGGTTTCCAAGCGTTGACAAAAAGCATTTACAGTAGGAAGGACAGAAATCTCTACTGCACAGAGCTGGAGTCTCTGCTGAGAAACTTCTCCTTCCCATCACAGAGTGACTGTACTTGTTACAAAGGTGGTAGCAGTTTCCACCCAAGTGGCTCAGCTATGGAAAGTCAGCCAAGAGAAACTGCAGAGAGGCAACCCTTTCCACTCTAGTTCAAGGAAAACAGAGCCAGGGGAATCTTATGAGCAGGGCCTGTGACTGAAACCCAGGTAAGTGTCCTTCCCAACTCTGTTACAGATTCTGCATGGGACAGGGAGAATCACTTCATCCTAAATACACCAAACAGAGCAAGGAGGATAAAGTTACAGACCAAACAAACTTGACAGAAATGTCAGCTAAAATCTCGCTTAAATAAAATTTGGGAGTAGGACAGGAGGAAGGAAAAATGAATTCCCAAGTGTCATAGGAAGGGAGACTTCCGAGAGGAGAATGTTTTCCAAGCGCTGCTATAAACAACACTGACGTGCTGAAATCACTGTCACCACAGACCATATGGAGTCCTCTTATTCAGGAACAAGTTTCTAACATGTTGTCATGGGAATACTGCAAAGTACATCTTGGTGAATCCCTTCCAGAAGCAAATCCTGCCTGGATTTCATACAAATCATAACTGCTCTTTCGCTGAATGCAGACGTACATAAGCAAAGGACAATCCAGATAAATCTGCCGTGGCAAATGGGGACTTTTAACAGTCAGTGTCACTGAAAACGGAGGTAAGTAACAGCTCTTGAATTACTCAGACCTCAACTACTGAACCGTAAATAGCTGAGGACCTCCTGTTGTCTCCACCTCAGAGTACACATGCTGCCCCAGGATGTGCTATGGGAGTGCCCAAGCCCCTCTCCTCCACCAGACACATCAACATCCGAACTGTGGGAATCAGCCTCCCTCTCCATTACAAAAAATAAATCAATGAGATGTCCATAGTAGTTTTCTATATACCATCAGAACAAAATGCTGAAGGGAAGAGGACAGCTGATAGAGGTCAGACCAGAAGCGTAACTTGGCAACAGCCGTGGCGAGGGACCTCCGTGCAAAGAAGACAGTGTGCGATGCAACAGTGACAGCAGTAGTTTCCAGAAGTTCAGCTCCCTGTTTCCACACAGGCTTCCATTGCAGCATGAAAACCACATACCCAGAAGCACCTGAAAGTTTTAGTGGTTCACTCCTGGGTTTCCTGCATCTTCACAGCAGCTCGGCTGCAGCTTCAGAACTTGGGTGTTTAAGGAAGCAATCTTCAGAAAAAGCTGGGCTGGGAAACTGCCCAGAGTAACACAGAGGGAAGATCAGCATTTAGAGCCTAATAAACCTTGCTTAGTGGCTTGATAAACTTTGGTAGAGGTGCCCTTCCCTACTCTGGATTCTGGGAGGGGAAACTGTCTCAAAGGTACACACCTAACCATGGTTTTCCACCCATGATCTGCTGGTTTTGGCAGAGGTGCCAGCTCCTCCTTCCTGCCCCTGTACCATACTACATCACCCCATCATGGTGCCAATAAAAGAGTCTGTGGGCTAAAGATGTAAAGTGGCTCACTGAAATTACTTGAGATAAAAGTACCCTTGCCCCAGAAAGGGAATCCAGTTTCCAGCAAACACCTGTTTCAGCAGAGCTGCACGTGGGGAGCAGAAGCAGGAATTTCTTCACCTCAGTTCATCACTAACAGGGAGCAAATCCCTGAGTCACCAACACTGTACTAGCTGCAGACATCTTTGGGATGTGGCCAATTTCAGACCTGTTCTAGTTTGTAAAAAAAATATTAATTGGGTCAGGGAGACCAACTGCATCATAGGAGGAAGATGAATGATCTGAACTGGGATTTCAAATCTCTGCTCCAGTAAATTGAATTATGCACTCAGCTCCAAAAACAAGATTGAGAGAGATCCACACCAGAATGTCCCATGTCCTGGTAACCCAGATACTACCCAATGGGTGAGATAAGACCCAAACCCCTGTCCCCAGTAAGATTTAAGATCCTACCTTGTATAACCCTGTCAAGTATCTTAACCAGGAGGATACTCTGTCTACGAGACCCTCATAGACTGTCTTATCTACTGAATTATTATTATATTGCAAAGAGAGCCAGGGGAACACTTTCCTGTGCTCCAGGCCTTCAGCTTGTGCCCATTAGCTGCTTTGCCCTTATGTGGTTTTGGAAATTATTCATGTAGGGAAGCTATTTGTTTACAAGGCTGGGCAGGAACTAACAGTTCAGAGGAAGTTAGTGAACCTGAGTGATTGAATTTCATCAGATAGTACCTAACTGCCCCCAGCAGGTCACCCTTAACCCCTCTTCTTCAGCTCCTGATTTGTGAAACACTGATAATAAACAGCACATCACAGTATTCTGAGGATAAACATGTTAGTGACAGTGAGAGTCTCCTCAGGATAATGGAGGCCCAGTATGTGAAGATAGAAAGTGCTCTGTCACCTTAATATGAGCTTTGTAAGATCATGTGCAAAATACACTTCTTTGACTTCCTCAAGGAATGGTGCTGGTACACCCTTCCTTACCTTTTGCTGTCACCTTCATTTACAGGTTGTCCTGTTTCAAACAGGTTTAGATCATTCGGGATTCTGAGAGTCTCCTTTGCGTTGCCATTATCACCCTTCTGACAGTTCTGCTTTTCTTTCTTCCTCTCCATTAGATTTTGCAGACGTCTTTGCTGTTGTTCTTGATAAGCCTTAAACTGGCTTTTAAAATGTTCATTCACTTTTATGTCTGACTCCATTTGTTACTAAAAGCAGAACAAGAAGAAAATAAAAAGCGACTGAGAGCAGAGATCAACATTGCTTTGAAAAACATCCTCTTCTAGCAGCTACTTTGCAGTTTTTCCTCACTGACCTCTGCACAGTCTCCCTGCCACCTCCTCCTCTCAGCCACTGCCCTCTTCAGCCCCACTGCCTTCCCTCAAGTGCCTTTTTCTATAAATGTCTTTCAAACAGTCTTCAAAAGGGTTTCCGGGTCTTTTGCACTCTAGGATTCAAAAAGGCAATGTTCTAAAATGTTTTTAAACAGATCTGTTTAAATAAACATTTTTACAGAAGAGTAAGTTGGGGTCAAATCCAAGTAAATGTGGCAACCACGTTATACTGACTAAAGGGAACACAGACTGCAACCATCCAGTCTTCCTTCCCACAGTTCAAAGAAAGCTGCAGCTCCTCCCCTTTTTGGGTTAATGTGGGACTGACAGAGGAAGAAAGATCTCTGTTTATCCTAATGCTCCCTTTGGGAACTAGACACCAAGAATGTGGCTTATATCTTTCCCCCAAATTTCTAAGCATGAAGTGATAACATTAAAGCGATAATATTGCTGTACATTTAAATGTCTAGAGCTTTACTTAGTATGGCTAAAGATGATCAGTTTTCTGATGTATTCCAGCCCCCTCTCCTTCTGTTTGACATTTACTGTCAGCAAAAAATCCAGTGCACCTTTGGTCTAGGAAAAACAATCAGTAAAAACTTACAAAGGCACACCCTGAACTGAGTAATTAACTCAGGCCCTTTCTCACACTGAGGCAGCAATCATCCTGATAAAGTTCCAAAACGCACACGACGTCCCTTTGTGCCCGTGTGTGCCGTATGGGCAGAGACACGCCGTAAGCAGCTTTACCTCCACGCCTGCTTCCTGGCGCCACGGGCGTGGGCAAGGTGCGTTAGATTGGCGAGTAGTGAGCGTGGAGCCCTGTGCCTCTGCATGGCCCACAGGCCTCGTGAATCACAGAATGGTTAGGGTTGGAAGGGACCTTAAAGATCATCCAGTTCCAACCCCTTGCCATGGGCAGGGACCCCTTCCACTAGACCAGGTGGCTCCAAGCCTCATCCAGCCTGGCCTTGGACACTTCCAGGGATGGGGCATCCACAGCTTCTCTGGGCAACCTGTTCCAGTGCCTCACCACCCTCTCCATGAAGAATTTCCTCCTGTTAGCTAATCTAAACCCCCCTGTTTTCAATTTGTCCCCGTTACCCCTTGTCCTGTCACTACAGGCTTTTGTAAAAAGTCCCCCCCAGCTTCTTTGTAGCCCCTTCAGATACTGGAAAGCTGCAATGAGGTCTCCTCAGAGCCTCCTCTTCTCCAGGCTGAACAAGCCCAATTCTTGCAGCCTTTCATCATAGCAGAGGTGATGTGACCTCAGGGGTAGAAGTGACATAAGGAAGTGCCCTAAGTGATGGGCTAAGGGCAACACTGACCCTAAACCTGGTGCGGAAGGATCTGCCACAGAGCTCCTGTGTGGGGACAGCGTTCCCTCTAGTGAACTGGATGGTCTTTAAGGTCCT